GTCGGGATAATATTATGCCGGTCAGGGTATTCCCTACCAATATAAATGCAAGATAATATATGAGAGATTGATTATAATTGTCACTAAAATAAATGATTATAACTTTGTAATAACGCTAGTCTAAATATTTAGTATAAAAGCGATAGTCTAAATAAATACTAATTTTTGTTTAAATTTCTCCAATTCTTCTTAATTCTCTTTTGGTAGCATTGTCATTATCTTCATCTTCAGTACATGTCCTCTTTTTTTTTTTAGTCTGTCATGTGTAATTGGGTTATTGGTTGTAGCATCAGTACATGTCCTTTTTTTTTTTTCTTTTTTTAGTGCCATGGGCTCATGTGTAATTGGGTTATTGGTGGTAGCATAGAGGGATTTATCGTGCAATGAGATTATGGTTTAAGAAGTTTTAGATTTGTCTGGCTGTGTATATGATTGAGATCTTAGTTGTACTATGAACTTTTTATTTTACAAGCACCTATTGATATTTGGTAGTGGTAGTTTTTCCCCTACATATTTCATGTGTTGTGAGATGTGTGTCGTATGTTATCATGTAAAAGTATTGAACAAAATATTAATATTTATTATATTTGTATAAAATACTTGGTAAATAAATATATATAAAATATTTTGTATTATAACTTTGATATTTAATTACAAGATAATGTAAAAAGAAGACAATGAACAATGTAGTGAATATAATAAATTAATAAATTTGAAGGTAAGGAATTTTATAATTGTTGAAAATAAAGATAATATAACTAATGAAATTATATCTCTTTTTAATTTTTTATAATGAGTAAGTTAAGAATAATAAATAGTTAACAAAATATTCTGTTACTAAAGTTTATAGTAATGGAATTTAGGGTTATTTAAGGGAAGAAAATAATATAATAGAGGGTAAATAAGGAAAATCATTAAAAAAATACTAAAATCAAAATAATATGAACCATTCATTTTAAGAAACAACAATTACACCAACATTTTTTGGGCAATTTATATCCTGCACCAGGGCGCGCATTGCATTGTACGCCCTGATGCAAAATGACGTCGTTTCAGATTTTTTTTTTTTTTTTTAATTTTGCTACCCTATTTTGCGGTTAATTTTCTTTAAAAAAAAAAAAATCTCAGGTTCAAAAATGTACATAATTTTATACTAGAATACACATAATTGTATACATGAATGTACATAATTGTATAACAAAATATACATACCTTTTGTTTTAAAAGATAATACATATAATCTAACATAATACATAATATACATAGACTTTTAACATAATAAACATCAACTCTTAACATAATACACATAAATTTTCTGTTTCGGATGTACATAATTGTATAAAAAAGATGTACATGATTGTATAAAAAATATACATAATTGTATAAACAAATACACATAATTGTATAAACAAATACACATAATCACGTCAACTCCCTACATAACTTACCAAAACAACATCGTTTTGGGAGCCGCGGGGCGCATAGTGCTATGCGCGCTAGAGGTGGCCACGGGCCGGTTCAAGGTCGAACCAACCCTGAATCGGTTCGGAAAAAAGTGGGCCTGGGCCTCAATGGGCCTGAGCCGGGCTTAGCTCGAACCGGAACCGGCTTGTTAAGGGCCGGTTCAGGTCCTTTTTAAAAAAAATTCGAGGCCCAGCATGGAACCGGCCCATGGCCCAAGCCCCTAACCGGCCCAGGCACGGACCTAGGCGCAGGCAAACACAACCAATTTATCCCTATAAATACCCTAACCCAATTTAATTTTTATGACACAAAAAATTTTAATCTTACACTCTCTTACTTCTACTCACAACAATTCTCCATAAATTAAAAGCAAACCCAATTTAAAAGTCTTTTATACATTTTTAAATTATCACTCTAACATAATTTAGTAAGTAAAAATTAAATGAACCTTATAAACTATACTACATTTTATAATATTTATAAGTTATCAAATAATATTATAAGACTACAAGTTTAAATGTATTTAAGTCTTATATAAAGTTTTAATAGTACAAGACTACAAATTTAAATGTATTAATGTCATTTATAAATTTTAATTTAGTAGAAAATCATATTAATTTTAGATTTTGAGATTAATAATTAAAATATTATTTTTAACAAAAATATTAATGTGTATATGTATATACATATATTAATGTGTAATGTGTGTGTATGTATATACTAGTATTGTGTACGCGCGATGCGCGAAAAATTCATGCCCAATATTAAAACATTGATAAATACAAATAATTAAAAATTATAATTTGAATTATATAAATACAAATAATATATGTATTTTGTACACACATATATATAATACTAGTTTAATAAAGACAATATAACTAATGAAAATATTTTTCTTAATTAATTTATTGATAATGAATAATTTTTTTTCACTGAATTAAGACATTGTAAGGACAATGTAGCGAATATAATCAATTAATAAATTTGAATATAAAGAATTTTATATTGTAGAAAAATAAAGACAATATAACTAATACAATTATTTCTCTTATTTAATTTATTGATAATGAATAATTTTTTTTTTTGAATAAAGGCATTGTGGACACATAATTCTAAATTAAAGAAATGCATATCTATAATTTTTTGTTGTAGCTACTAAATTATTATTTATATAATTTAATAAGAGTAAAATAGAGTACAAATTATGCCAACTTTGATTGGGATGAGGTTCGAACCTAAGACTTTTTTTTTTTAAATTAAAATCAATGAGTAAGTTAACGGTGAACTAACGGCAATTCTTAAAATTTTAACGGAATTAGTAATGGTGCGTGTGTATTTTAGGAAATTTTAGTGTAAAATTTAAATCTTATCAATCTTTTAATCAATCTGAGCCATTCATTTGATTAAAACCTGTGACCGCCATTTTTTCTACCCATTATAGGCCTAACTCTCTTGGGCTCTTATTAGTATAGTAGATATCATTCAAAGAAATTTAATTAAAATATAATTAAGTATTAAATTAATATATAATGATTTTAATAAAATAATAATTAAAAATAGGAAAAAGATATGATAGATATAGGTGTATGGTAATAATGATGTGTTATTAAAGTTAGAATTAAAAATTAACGGTGTTATAACGGTGTAAGGGTAGCTTTGTCTAATAACATTAGAATGTACAACATTTAAAGTAAAATGTATACATTTATTTGCATATAAAAAGAGGGACATAAATCAAGGATATAACTTTCATTGAGGCTTATTATGTTTTTAGATATAAATATATAAATTAGTATTGATATATCAAGAGGTTTCTTGTAACTTAATTAGAAAGAACTTAAATTCATTATTATGAGGTCAAGGGTTTAAATCTTATTTCAAACAAAATATATCAATTTATAAAAAAATTTATGAGTTAATACCCAAAATCGTCCCCGACTATAGTGAATTTTCTCAATTTCGTCCTAAACGACTTTGGTGACCTAATATCGTCCCAGACTTTTGTGTTTCGCTCAATTTAGTCCCAGATTTTTGTGTTTTTGCTCAATTTAGTCCTTCATTCGTTATTCTATCCATTTGGTGTTAAATAAATAGACAATTCACCAGGACTATGTGGTCTAATGGTACCCGAGTTAGACTTCTATTTGGAAGATAATGAGTTCGAGCCTCAGTGGAGGTGTTATTGGTTTTTTGTGTTTCAGTAGGTTGAGAAAGTATATGAACAGATACTACAATGTAATAGAGCCAGTAGCTTTCAAAAAAAAAAAATAGACAATTCAATAATTTTAATATTGACATCTCTTTACTCATAGACATGTGAATTGCGAAATCCCCCCCCCCCCCCCCCCCCCCCCTTTTTTTTTTTTACGAATTACTCTAGAATTACTCCTAAAATTGCGAATATAAAATTTGATTTGCAGGTTCGGGAGTAAATCTGGGTGTAATTCGTACAAGAAAGAGGAATTTCACACTTCACAAGTTGAAAGTAAAGAGAGATCAATATTGACATTACTGAATTGTCCCTTAATTTAACACAAATTTGATGGAATAACAAATGGAGGACTAAATTGAGCGAAACACAAAAGTCTGGGACGATATTAGGTCACCAAAGTCGTTTAGGACGAAATTGAGAAAAACCAATAGTCGAGGACGATTTTGGGTATTAACTCAAAAATTTATACATTTAAAAAATATAACAAATTACGGGCCTAGTTTGGGACCGGCCCGGAATACTATGGGTCTTATTAGATTTGTAGATGTAGATATAGTTACATTTATTTATAAAATTAGTTTTTCAGACTTAATGCCCAATATTTGTATTTAAATAAGTAATTCAAATATATCAATGTAAGATTATATATGAAAAATTTATTATAGTTGGCATGAAAAATAATGTTTAATTTGCATTTTTCTAAAACATGATTATCTAAATACTTATTACAGTTGATATATGCAATTTGTTGGTACCGTGAATTGCCGGTTCGGAACCAGAGCCGAACTGTGGTCATGGCTACTTGTGTGAGACCGTCTTACGAATCTAATCTTTATCTGTGAGACGGGTTGAGTTGGGTTGAAACAATATGCAAATGTAATACTAAATTAAGAATTATATATATATATATATATATATATATATATATATATATATATATATATATATATATATATATATATTTATTTATTTATTTATTTATTTATTTATTTATTTATTTATTTATTAGGGAAAATATAATACTTTTACATTTTGATGTAAAAATATTATTTTTTTAATCAAAATATTATATGTTTTTTTATAAGTAATGTTGCACTTATAAATAAAAATTTAATATTTTTGATGAAATATATAATATATTTTTATATCAAAATATAAAAAATATTACGGAGTATATTTTTTTCAAAAGTATTTTTTTTTTTTTTTCGTATAAGTAATAAACATTTTATTTATGATTTAGTATTACATTTGTTAGTAAAAAAAAAAAAAAATAATAAATAAATAAAGCCAAACTGAATAGGAGTTTCAGTGAGACCGGAAGAATACTGAAGCAAAGGCGCAGAGAAAGGCAAAAACTGAAGTACCAGGACTGCCGGCCGCCAAATCGCAGCTTCCGATCCCCGTAAGCAGCCAAGCCAGTTGCTGTTCGTCCGCCAGAGATTTTCCTCGCCGTCCGTCCGGCAGAACGGAAAGCCAGAAAGGTAAGAGTAGCTAGTGGAAGGCTTTATTCACAAAATTATGAATAAATTTTGCTTTATAATTCATATATATTTGGTGGAAGGGCTTTGGCAGTTTATGTTTTGAACCCGACTTGAATTATCGTAATGTATTCGATTTTCATCATATCTAGATATATATTGGCGAATTGTATTTTCATTATATCTCAAAATCAAACACAGCGGAAGCAAACCCTAATTTGTTGGAAAGATCAGATGGATGCAAAGGACATTTTAGGGCTACCGAAGAATTCACTGTCCATACCTTCAGAAAAGAAGTCTAGGCCTCCGAAAGAGTCTCAACGCAAACCCGATGGCATTTCACGAGAAGTACTTAGTTTCTCTCTCTATTTCTCATTTTCTCCACTCATATGGAACATGTATAATTTCTGCTCTGTCTTGAGTGTATGATTTATTCGAACTGTTGGTTCGGCTCTGTAATGTTTTAGGTTTACGCCCTTACAGGAGGTTTGGCACCTCTCATGCCAGCTACTGATATCAATCATTTGAAAAGACGAACACAGGCAGAGAATGAAAAGGTTACATGACTGTTGAACCTTTTTTTTTTTTAATTGCTCTGTATTTTTTAATTTTAAATTCTTATTTAAGGCATTGATGTACTTCAATTCCCTCTTCAGATTACATGGCAATGGCTTCCTTTTACAAATTCTGCCCGAAATGACAGTTTGCAACTATACCACTGGGTATGCCTAGCTCTTCATTGTGAAATCTATTTTCAGTGTTGTGAGATTTATGTACAGAAAAGAGCTTTTGTGCCTCTTTTGTTTTTAGGTGAGGGTTGTAAATGGTGTTCTGCCAACAGGCGACTATTCGTTCGCTAAGTATAACAAGGTATGCTGAATAATCTTTCTATTATCATGTGAAGGTTTTATCATAGTCCTTATTCACAAATATGTCTTTCTCCAAAGCTTTCCTGCCCCAATTTATTTGTTTGTTGATGATTGAATGCAGTCAGTGGATGTAATTGAATACACAGATGAGGAGTATGAGAAATATTTGACAGATCCTGTAAGTATCTCAAGCATTAAATCTAAACAACAGTATCATTCTATCATCCCCTTAAAATAAACTTTATCCACGCTCCAACGACCAGTTCATGAAGTTCTAAAAAGTACCAATGTAGTAATAGTAATAAACTAGTTAAACCCTCTCTTTTGCCCATATAGTCAGTGTGTCGTATGTCAACGAACACTCAAGTAATTTATTCTTCTGATTTTACTTATACCTTCTCTAATATAAGACGTGGACCAAGGAAGAGACAGACCAATTATTTGAGTTGTGTAAAAGGTTTGATCTACGGTTCATTGTGATAGCCGATAGGTTTTCATCGTCACATACGGTTGAGGAGCTTAAAGATCGTTATTATACTGGTAAATCATTTATCTCTACTTGCTGATTACTTCTCTTAATGTTTTGTACATTTTCTTTTTGTGGGTTTTAATGCAGTAGTAATTTACACTGTTAACTCGTTACTATTGTAGTATTGTGTTCTAAACTTATATAACTTGCATTTTTTTTTTTTTTTGTCTTGGCTTAGTATCCCGAATTGTCTTGAATTCAAGGGCTGCATCTTCTATTGATGTTGCTGGGCATCCTATTATTAAGGTTTGTTGAGAGTTCCAGTCCTTCCTCTTTACATTTAAAGAGTATATGCATTTCATTCTACTGTCTACTTTTTGTGCTGTTTGTATGTTTGTTGTATTCAAATTATCACAATTATGTAGGAATCATACAATATGCCTCAAGAGATTGAAAGGAAACGTGCATTGTCTATGATACTTTCGCAGACAAAGCATCAAGAGCGCAGAGATGCAGAGGTTGCTTTTTTACTTTTGCAAATTGTGACAAAGGAAAACAGAAAATTCAATTGATGTAGCCCTGAATAGACTTGCTTGATGAATACATTTAGTATATAACTTACTACATCAATCGTTCTGATTTATTTGATTACTTCATTTCAAATCCTTTTAGGTCCTTGCTGAAGCCAAGAAAATAATAGAATCCCGTAGAGTTGCAAAGGTAATTTCTAGTATTGTGCCCTTGACCCAAACAAAAGAAGTGCTCAAGTGCTTACACTTTGTTTTGAATGAAAGGCTGCTGAAGATTCAGAGCTACCAATCATGTCTGATACTTGCCCAGAAGGTGTGGATAGGGCCATCAATGTTGATCCTGTCTCAACTTCCCCAAATGCTCAATTTCCCTCTGGCACAAGTGCTGCTCCAATATCAGAGACTGCTTCTGCTTTAGCTTCTCTTCACATGGTGAGCTTTTAAGTTGAAGAAGGAAAATATAAAAATATTATGTCATTGCTTAGATGGTATTATTGCCTATCTTATTGACTGGTGATTCAATTTTCAGTTGGGGGTATACTTGCGTACATATGCGCTAGAACAAATGGTGCACGAAGCAAGCTCATCAGCTGGACTACGGACTATTAAGCGTGTTGAGCAAACTTTACAAGACCTAGGGGTTTGTCCCTGCTCCATATACCTTTCTGCTGAACCTTTTGTGTGTTTGTTTGAGATCATCTAGCATGTGCTTGTTATTTCCTTTAGCTCGTTACTCTATTTGTTTGCACTAGTTTAAGATGAGAAGTTGGAATTTGCTTTTACAGGTTAATTTGAAGCCAAAAGTCCCAACTAAACTTGTATGTGCTGAGCACCTTGAACTTAGAAAAGAAATATTGACCCTTTTAAATATTCAGAAACAGGTATGTATAGTATATCTAATGTTATCTGTAATCTTTGTGAACCACCCCCACCCCCTTTCTGAAATCCAAAATATGAGATTCACAAGTTACGGCTGCTATTTGTGGCACAATTTTTTTTTTTCTTTGGTTAAAATTTCAGTTGCAATACAAGGAGGCCGAAGGTTCATCTTATCGTGATGGTTCATATTCTGAAACTCCTGGTTCACCGCCGAAGGTGAGCTAGCCATTCTGTGTTTCCCATTTTTCTTGTTTAAAGAATTAAACAGAAGCATGCAGCATGTATTATTTGATGTCTATTGGCAGCGGTCACAGCGTGGAGTTGATCAGGATCGAACATTCACTCATGACTTAAGTTTTGGAGGTAATATTGACCTTTGATTTTTGCCATACTGTCATGTTGTTGATTCTTACCAACCCCATGGGGCTCTAGGTGAATCATCCCTAAATTAAGGATGATTTCTAACTTATTTGGTTGGATGTTAGGCGAAAGAGTTGGTAAAAGGGATCAAAAACGGAAGGTATGCTCATTATGATGTATTATTTATTTCTATGGTTTCTCTTTCTCTGAAGATTTCTACTAATTGCATATTTCTCTGAAATTTGAGTGGGTGAAGACACCTGGAACTCCCAAATTTGAAAGCTCACCAGCAACCTCAAAACGGCCACGGAAGTTGAAATCTTCAGATGGATAGGCTTGGCAGGTTAGTACATATATAGTTTCAAGTTCTATGGCTGAAATTGCTATTATTTTATTGTGTGAAGTTTGTCCAAGTAGATTCTAGGGGTAGAAGTCAATACCAAATGCATGCAATGTTTATGGAAATGTTTTGTGATGCGGAAACACCAGCACTGCCTTTCTGAGAATGTTTCCTCGGGTGGTGTGCTTAAGCTCCTGAATTGGTTTTAGATTTTAGAATCTAATGCTTTATGAAATGTGGAGATTCTGCTTTTTGTTCCTGCATGGGTGGTGAAAGCACAGTGGCACGGCTCTGAATTTGACAAGTTCAACATTTTAAGTTTCAGCTATCTAATCTGTATATTCCCCCGGGATTTACGTAGTATTTCTTATCTGCTGATAAATCATTTGACCAATTAATATTTCAAATTTTAAGGATGGCTACAGTAGGTTTATTACTTTTACTAAGTATTTAAATGAATGGGTTAAAAACTAAGGCTCAGTGACAGGTGGGAGAAGAGAATTTAATTATTTTTGAAAGAGCGTTGGAGGGAGTCCAGAAAAGTAAAGAAAATGGGTGGTGTTGCAGAAGCAGCAGCTACTAGTCAAGAAAGGGGTCGCTGGTTGAGTTGAGGTGTGCAGAGACGAATGTGGAGGCAGCAGGGTAAGAAAAATGACTTTAGATCAGAAAAATCGTGCTACAATAGTGAAGTCTGAGAAGCACCCATAAAAGAGGGGGAAATGAAAGATTATTGAAGTAAACATTGAATCTCAAATTCCAGGTGAAGAAGAATGGCTTTTTTTTGTTGGGTTTCTTATTGATTTTGTCTGTTTTGTTGTATTGCTTATTACTTCTTCTCCTATACTATACAATTGGGGATATGGAGGAGCTTTGATGCAAGATTTTGATTGTTAAGAGGATTCAAGCAACATAATGTGAAGATTCATGTCTCACAAAAGTGAATGTACAAAAGTTTTGTATTCAAAGCCAAACTACTTCAATAATGTACATACTTTTTATATGGACCAACTATAATAGTTTACTAAAAACAACAAATCGAAGACATTAACTTTTATTAAATATATATTAGTTTTTTTACGCGCTTTGCATGAATGTGATAATGTCCAAAATGATTATTTTTAAATAAGGGTCCGTTTGGAAAGTAGGAAAATGACTTTTGAAAAATGTTTTTTAGAAAATGAGTCATTTTTCAAAAAACATTTTCCTTTCCTGTGTTTGACTGCACAATGGAAAACTGTCTTTTGGTGTTTGGTTCATTTTCTAGAAAATGAGTAGAATGGAATACTTAAACATTTTAATTGGTTTTATGCTACAGTACAATCAAGCTCTTCATTGGTTTACTCGTCGGAAATCACTTCTGGTTTCCGGTTGGGAAACCAGTGAAGACCAGAAAATTTTCAAGTTTTTGTGGTTGTGAATTGTTGGAGGAGGAAGTGTTGGTAGAGTTGTCTCAATGTTGAAGGATGATGCGAAGTGGTGAAGTCTAGAAGAAGCACTGAAGCAGCGTGTGTGTGTTTAGAAGATGGAAAATGACTTCCCCTTTTCCCCCAAAAAAAGGGGAAGTCATTTTTCAAAAATCAACCTCATTTTCCGTTGACTATCCATCATTTTCCTTTGACCACTTCATTTTCAGCCTACCCAAACATCAGAAACCCATAAAATGATTTCCAGAAGTCATTTTCTGAGTTTCCAAACAGACCCTAAGTATTTTAAAGTATATCAATGCAATATTATATAGGAGATGTTCATACATAGGTAAATAAATGTTAAATTTGTTTGTTTAAATCGGCAATTTAAAGTATATAAATGTAAGATAATATATGAGAGATTGATTATAATTGTCACTAAAATAAATGTTTGTAACTTTGTAATAACGTTAGTCTAAATGTTTATTTAGTATAAAGCGATAGTCTAAATAAATATTACTTTTTGTTTAAATTTCTCTAATTCTTCTTAATTATCTTTTGGGTAACATTGTCATTGTCTTCATCTTCAGTACATGTCATTTTTTTTTTTTGTTTTTTTTTTTGTTTTTTTGTTTTTTTGTTTTTTTGTTTTTTTTGTTTTTTTTTTTTTTTGTTTTTTTTTTTTTTTTTTGTTTTAGTGTGTCATGTGTAATTGAGTTATTGGTGGTAGCATCAGTACATGTCTTTTTTTTTTTTTTTTTCTTAATGCCATGTGTAATTGGGTTATTGGTTGTAGCATTGAGGGATTTATCGTGCAATGAGATTATGGTGTAAGAAGTTTTAGATTTGACTGTTTGTGTATATGATTGAGATCTTATTTGTACTATGAACTCTTTATTTTACAAGCACCTATTGATATTTGGTAGTGGTAGTTTTTTCCCTACATATTTCATATATTCTGAGATGTGTGTTATAGGTTATCATGTGAAAGTATTGTAAAAAATATTAATATTTATTATATTTGTATAAAAAACTTAGTAAAAAAATATTATATAAAATATTTTGTATTATAACTTTGATATTTAATTACAAGATAATGTAAAAAGAAGACAATGAGCAATGTAGGACAATGAGCAATGTAGTGAATATAATAAATTAATAAATTTGAAGGTAAAGAATTTTTGAATTGTAGAAAATAAAAATAATATAACTAATGAAATTATATCTCTTTTTAATTTTTTTATAATAAGTTAAGAATAATAAATAGTTAACGGAATATTCCGTTACTAAAGTTTATACTAACGGAATTTAGTGTTATTTAATGGAATAAAATAATATAATAAAGGGTAAATAATGAAAATCATTAAAAAAAATACTAAAATCAAAATAATATGAACCATTCATTTTAAGAAACAACAATTACACCAACATTTTTTTGTTCTAGTTAAGAGCCTAATATTATTGGGTCTTATTAGATTTGTAGATTGTAGATATAGTTACATTTATTTATACAAACACGGGCATTGCGCGATTAATTTAATGCCCAATATTTGTATTTAAATAAGTAATTCAAATATATCAATGTAAGATTATATAGGAGAAATTTATTATAGTTGGCATGAAAAATAATGTTTAATTTGCACTTTCCTAAAAAATAATTATCTAAATACTTATTGCAGTTGATATATGCAATTTGTTGGAACCGTGAATCGCCGGTTCCGAACCGGAGCCGAACTGTGGTCATGGCTACTTGTGTGAGACCGTCTTACGAATCTAATCTTTATCTGTGTGACGGGTTGATTTGGGTTGAATCAATATGCAAATGTAATACTTATACTAATAAATGTTAATGTAATACTAAATCAAGAATAAAATGTTTATGTCCAAAGTGGACAGATTCTTTGTGCGCACCGGTATTCGGCCCTGTTTGCTAAACCATTGAGTCACCGTGATTTACATCCTTTCACATGCTCTGTCAAGTTGGAGTGTGAGGACCCTTAGAGTTGGGGATTCAACCTTTTGGGAAAAGAATAAAATGTTTATTACTTATAAGGGAAAATATAATACTTTTAATGACAAATGTAATACTTTTACATTTTGATGTAAAAATATTATTTTTTAATCAAAATATTACGGAGTATATTTTTCCTTATAAGTAATGTTGCAGTTATAAAGAAAAAATTTAATATTTTTGATGAAAAATATAATATACTTTTACATCAAAATGTAAAAGTATTACGGAGTATATATTTTTTTTCAAAAATATTACATTTTTTTTCATATAAGTAATAAACATTTTATTTATGATTTAGTATTACATTTACTAGTATAAGTATTATATATTTATATTTCATTTTGACTCGACCCGTCTCACCGATAAGGATACGTGTGACTTATCTTAACTCAACCCGTCTCATAGATAAGGATCCGAGAAGGTATCATAAAAGTTTTTGCAAAAAAAAAAAAGAAAAAAAAAGGAAGAAGATAGCCAAACAGCGCTTATGTCTTGTGCCACACAACCAATTCGAAGAAATTTACCGCCAAAACGACAATGCTTTCGTCGCCATTGCTGCACCACCCGTTGTCCTACTCCCTCTATCTCCATCGGACCCAGCAGCTCAAGCTCCTTCCTTTTAGCCGCAAGTTTCCATTTCGGTCTCTCCATTCCTCGCCGCTTGTGGGGTTTCACAAGGATGTTCTCGCACCTTTCGTTTCTAAATCATCGCTTTCGTCTTCTTCTTCTTCTGCTTCCTTGGTCGGGGTTGATTTCGAAGTGGAGCTTGGGCGCTTGCTGGCTCTCTTGCCGGAAGAGATGCGGCGGAGAGTTGGGGAGCATCAGGAGCTGCATCATTTGATCGAGGTTGTTATGGACTTGGGCCGCAAGCCCCTCGCCCGGTTCCCCTCCGGAGACTTCGTTTTGTCGGACCATCCGATTACTATGCAGGATCTTGAACATGCCACTTCTCAGGTGAATATGATTTTTGAACCTGTTTGTTCTTTGAATTCCGGTTGAAGTTTTGATTGACTGGTATTTTTTTCTTCAACGAGCCTTCTAAGTCTTGCGCTCTAAGTGTTTGATAAATTTCTAATAAGCTCTTCCCTTTTTCCTATAGGTAAGTAAAAGGTTTATGTAAATTTCGCAATTGAAGTTTGAAAAAAAAGTGGTCTTTTCCTCCTTTTTCTTATGAATATATGGTGTTACTGTTTGTCTCTGATTGACTGAATAGCAATTTCTATAACTGTGCTATTAAAATGTCATTTTTACTTTCTTCGTTGGCCAGTAATCCAATCCATTCAGCTATTTTATTTGAGGACTCTTTGTAAAGTTAAATCTTTTTTCCATTTAGCATAATCATAGAAAAGGTTGTTCTTTTACGGTCACGACGCATGCAAGTTGGAACTCATGGTTCCTCTTGTTCTAGGTTGGGGATTTTGCTATTGATAACAGAGCAGGCATTAGCCGGACCTTGCACCGGATCAGTGCCATTAGGAATCGGAAAGGTAGGATTATTGGTTTAACCTGTCGTGTTGGCCGAGCTTTATCAGGAAGTGCCAACTCATTGCAAGATTTAGTTAAACTTGGGGCTTCTTTGTTGCTAATTGGACCTCCTGGAGTAGGAAAAACTACAATTATCAGGTTAGTAATTGTTATGCATACAGATTAGGGACTTCACTTTTTTATGCCATTGTTTTATTATTATTTTTTGGGTGGGGGTGGGCACACATTGCTTAACATGCATTGTTGTCTACATGACTGGCTATAATGGAGCAATATTTTCCTTATCCTTAGGGATATAGCTAGGATGCTTGCGAATGATTATGGGAAACGAGTCATGATTGTTGACACTTCAAATGAAATTGGTGGTGATGGAGATATACCTCATGCAGGAATTGGTAATGCACGGCGCATGCAAGTGCCACACACTGACATGCAACACAAGGTAATAAAGAGTAGCTTAATTTTCCCCTTTTTGTGTGGTGGGGTTAATGCCAGTTTCCCATGTTTTCATTAGTTTTGTTGTTTTATACTTTGGAGTGCTGCATTATACTTTAATCTTTAGAGGGACTGAGGGAATAACTATTGAATCAGCGTATATAATATAAATACACACATTTATTTATTTTTATCTTATGTTGTCCTTAATTCTCCAATGGAATATTCTTCTTGTAGGTCTTGATAGAAGCAGTTGAAAATCATATGCCACAAGTGATTGTAATAGATGAAATTGGTACTAAACTTGAGGCTATGGCAGCAAGCACAATTGCACAGCGTGGTATTCAGTTGGTTGCAACTGCTCATGGTGTAACAATAGAGAATTTAGTGATGAATCCAGCTCTGGAGATGCTAGTTGGAGGTGTACAGGTATTTTTTTTTTTCTTGACCAGTAGGTCATAAGTTCATGCCTTTAAACTCTCAAAATTGATTCATTCCCAAATGTACAGTGGTACACAAAACAGCGTGCAGTCACTTTTTTATACTCTTATAAAGGATTTTTCAACTGCTCTAGCTCTGCTATAGCAACTT